CTATTTCCTTGTTTACCATTCATTAGATTTGCCACTCTGACCAGTTATTTATGCCAATTTGCTTATGTCAGACTTAAGGCCTCCTTATAAACCTGTCTCTTATACACATCTAGATGTGTATAAGAGACATCATGTTTATGTTTTTAGTTACTTTTAGGGGTTTTTTTTTCTATAACTGTAAAAACTGACAGGACCTTAGTTAAATACTTACCCATTATAGTCGTTTAGTGGTGGCCCCAGGGGGTCTGATAGGGTGGGTCCAAACACAGAGCCAACTAGACCCTCGGTCAGAGTCCCGGAATAAAAATCTCTGGGCTTATAGGAGAGTTTTTTTTTTAGCTTAGTATGGCCCAAAATTTTGCTTTTAAGCCAAAATATTAGGGATTGGCAACCAAATTAATGTTTTATGGATGAGCAAATCATTATTTGTGGTGTGGCAACCTCGTCGTGGCATCGGACAATGGGAGTCTATGCCTGTCTGATGGGAATTCTCCACCTCCCAAGCAAATTTGGAATGGTGACGTCAACACACCAAATTCCAAGACTACTACAATCAAAATTAAAGGAAATGTTTACCTATTTAAATTTAATCTTTCTACACTACATTTTTCATCATCATCATTATTATACTTATGTTGTTACTTTATAATATTATTAATATAGTACTCTATATAATTATTCTTATGCGTTTCAAAAAAATTATAATTTATAATTCACATTAATATTAGCGTTAGTACTGTTATTCTTACTACACTGATGTCATTATTATCATCATTACCATCATCATCTTCCTCATTGTCATGCCCATCCTCATTATAATCCCCATTATAAGGAGGATGTTGATCATGAGGAGAAGAAAGATGATTAGGATGATGGTGAGGAAGAAGATGATGGTGATTATGATTGATGATAATGGTTGTTGATGATAATGACTGTGAAGATGGTGATGACAATGATAGAAAATGATTGATGAGAATGATGATAATGATGATGATGATGATGATGATGATGATGATGATGATGATGAATGATGAGAATCATCCCTCTCATCCTCATCATCATCTTCATTCTCGTCATCCTCCTCCTCATCATCATCCTCGTGATGATGATGGTGACTGATGATGAAGAGGATAATGCTGAAAATGATGATGGGAATGTTGATGCTGATGACAGTAATTAGGAAGATGATGAGGATGACGATAATAATGAGGGTGATGGTAATGATGATTATGATTATGGGGATGAAGATAAGAATGATGATGAGGAGGATGAGGATGATGCAGTTGATGAGGAGAAGGAAGATGATGAGGTAGATGATGATTGATGATGAGGAAGAAAATGATGCTGATAAAAATGGTGAGGATAATGATGATAATAAGGAAAATTAGGATGATGAGTTTGATGATAATGAAGATAAGGATGATGATGATTATGATTGATGAGGATGATCGTGATAATGATGAGGATAATTGATAAGAATGATGTTGATGAGGTTAATGATGAAGAATGAGAAACATCCCCTCTGCCCCTCATTCTCATTTTCATTCTTGTCGTTCTCCTGTTCATCATCATTCTCATGATGAGGATGATAATTGATAATGCTGATTAATAAGGATGATGATGATGTGGTTGATGATGATGAGGACAAGGATGATGATGGATGATGATGATAATGAGGACTATGATGATGAATGATGAATGAGTGATGATGATAAGGAGGATAAGGATGAGGTTGATGAGGATAAGGATGATGATGGATGAGGATGATTAGTAGGTTGTGGTGATGGTGATGATGATAACGATGATTATTGAGAATGGTGATGAGGGTTACAATGATGGATGAGGATCAATGCCATAGCCAGGATTTTCAAACGGTGTGGGACAATATCAGGGTGGACCCACTTTACGTTTAAATTTAAATAATGTGGACTGGACCCATTTTACGCAAAAATATGAAATATCTGGACCCATATTCTTAAATTTTACCAATTTTTAGCTAAATATGAGAAATCTGGATCCATTTTATGCATAAAATTACATAATTTGGACCAATTTTTAAAATGTGGACCCATTTGAAAAATGGTGTGGGACTTTCCCAACTGTGCCAATAGCATGCTACACCATTTATGATGACGAGGATGATGATGGATGAGGATGAATATGATGAGTATGATGATGAAGAAAATGAAGAAGGATGAGGAGGAGGATGAAGATTATGAGGAGGATGACGACGACGACGACGACGACGGCGGCGGCGACGACGACGACGACGACGACGACAACGACAACAACAACAACAACAACAACAACAGTTTCCCCGCCAAGAGGAACGCCATCTTGGAAATTGGCATTATGATCATTTTATTTAAATTTGATAAAGACAGTAAAGAGTAACTAGTTAACTAAGTTTATTGTCAATTTTCACATTTACAGCAAAACTAGAAGTAACTAAAATAATACCATAGTTTTTTTTTTAAATTTACCCCGATCCGAGTCCAGAAATTGAAGTGTTCGGTCTTTCAGAGCAAAATTTCGCTATTTCTTTT